GAAGATTATGGAATGTGCTGAAATGGACAAGTTGACAAATATATTAAAAGGAAAAAGAAGAATAATTTATGGGACGGAGGGCGTTTTATGACTGGTTAAAACTTAAGTACTGAGAAAATAAGATTAAATGAAGAATAATAAGAATGATAGATGTAAGCAGTTGTGAAATTGTAATGAGAAGACAAGCATGCAGAATGCCAGATTGGAATTTTTTAATATACTTTTGTATCCTTCCTTTCCCCTTTCCTGTGCATAAACCAATAAAATTCTTAAAAAAAACAAAACAAAAAAAAACAACTACTTTGGTGCTTGTGTTAAAGAGAACAAGGATAGACTAGAATGGAAGTTCTGGTAAGAAAAACGGCCACTAGATGGCTTCCCACCACCCCTTATCTCAGATTAGATTTTGTTTGTGGCTCAAACCCACAAATTTCAATAGGTTTAGACTGGAGTAACTCTGCCCAGCATTGCACTGTAAGCTTCCTAAATTCTCCTTTAATAAAGCCATGGACACCTTTTTCAGTAACCCATTAAACCCGGATTACCTACACCTCCCAGCTGTCTTCTCCACTGTAGTAGCAGAACAAACACAACTTTAAGTGGCAAACCTCTGGAAGTATCAGGGGAGATAAGTTCAGAGTATTATGTTTTATTTTCTGTGACTCTCCACACTTCCAGTGGTTCATATAGATTAGAAAAAGCAAAATGTGACAATGAATGTACTGTTAACATGAAATACGACTATTTACAAAAGAAAAAAAGACATTAAATGGTTCCAACTGAAACAGTCACAATGATAGGTAAAGTACTGCGAAACACTTAAAAGGATTTAAAACTTCTGTAAAATTCCAGTTTCTGGTTATCCGAGATAGACAGTGATGCACCGTTTTCTAATTAAAATCAAGAAAGCAGATTTCTAAAGATACATCCGATTGTGTGTCTAGCCAGATGTCAAGGGAAATCCTGTATTTTTTCACATCACGCTAATTGTAATCTTATTTCCTTGTCGATGCCTTAAAACAGTGAACTAGCTAGATATTTTTTGATTATGTATGTCCCCCTAAAAGGTTTCTAAATAAAATCTCATATGAGCATTGTGATCCAGCATTTAAGTTCTGTTCTAGCTAAAGTGGAACATGTGCATGACTCTCTTCCATTGAATTCAGTGGGGCAAAAGTACTCCATTCAGAACCCTTTGATCCAAGGGTTCTGCTCAACGTGTCAGTTGGCACTCCAGCTAAGCTGCATATCTGTTTAGATTAAACCCTCCTATATACATTACTCTCCCTACCCATGTCTGTATTATGATTGAGAAACACCAAAAACAAAGTACAATCTATATTAAACCAATGTTCACCAGTCACTTCCTTTATTTTCCTTCTTTGACAAAGAGTAATTAACACATGGAATTCACTGCCACAGGAAGTGGTGGTGGCTACAAGCACAGACAGCTTCAAGAGGGGATTGGATGAACATATGGAACAGAGGTCCAGCTCTGGCCATTAGCCACAAGGTGTAGATGGAACACTCTGGGGCAGTGATGCTCTGTCTTCTTGGTCTTGGAGGGCAACTGTGGGAAGGCTTCTGGAGTTCTGGCCCCGCTGGTGGCCACTCAGTGGCCAAACCCAAACACCATCAGGGCATCCACCAGTGCTGGACTGGATGGGCCATTGGCCTGATCCAACATGGCTTCTCTTATGTGAAGTCGCTTCTTTTTATGGCTCTCTTGTGAGAAGGAAAAAAAATAAATGCACGGGCCATCAAAACATACATTTTGGTTAACTTCTGAGCCCCCGCAAAAGGCTTAGGGCAGGTAACTAGATGGTGAAGAGGACATGAAGAACTTGGGGGGGGGGCAACAACCCAATTGTTTGCATGCCAAAGGTGTTAAATCTTTTGTCTGGAGAAGGGTTCAACATCGACAGCAAGCGTTCGCATGATGCAAAAGCACCCTTCTAGGAGCAAATGTGACCACACTCACCTGGGAGTCTCTTGAGTGGTTTCCATCAATTCATTACGCAAGCAGAACTGATAAGTAATAGTAACTCTTAGTAACGAAGACTGTGTGTGTCTATCAAAATTACCCAGCCTCAAACCACTACTGCAACCCTACACCTGCATAGTCTCTGTGGCTGGCACCAATGCAGGCTTTAAGGCCAATCCTAACTGGGTTTACTTGGAAGCCCCACTGATTTTAGTGACACTGAATTCCAAGTCTGTATGCTTCACTCTGAGTAAACTAGGGGGGTTAAAGTCCTTAGAACTGATTCCACAATTGGTTCTTGTGAGCCAGCGCTCACTTCCCAAATGCATCCGAAGAGCCTCACTTTCAAATATGCTTAGGAACCCTTACTGCGTAATCCTCACCGAAACGACTTCAACCTATTGAAATCAATGGACTTAGACTGGATTAACTCAGCATAGGACTGTACTGTTAATCAGCTATGTTGGGAACCCTGTGGAACAGATACTGCATTAAAAGTTTTATAGCGCATGCACTCTTGTGCCTGAAGTGAGAGGAGTGTATTATATCTTATTGTATAATACATAATACCTGGTACAGTGAAGGAAGACTGCGTACTGCCGAAAGCGGGCATGGCTCATGAGTACACACGTCCAAGCAGTTCCCACTGCACCGTCTTACGAGCTATGGGGAATTTGCTCCAAGCATCGTTTTTGGAAGTCGTAGATTTTCATCTACAGAGCAGCATTCAGAAAGTCAGAGCAGTCACGAATACTCATAATTAATGCTTATCTGTTTACAGTAGAAAAAAGTAATTTCTGACATAAAGATGCAGCTCTGAACCTACATCTGCAGAGAATTAGGGTGCTCACAGAATGAACTTCCTGAAATTGCAATTTGTAAAGTGATCCATAATTGACAAGTGCAAAGCAAAAGTCACTGTTCTGTAGAACATCCTTGAGTAAATTTAAAGAAACAATTGCCATTTCTAATTGTTCGGAGTGAAGAAGCAGTCAATGTGATGGCAAGGCTGAATATCCCAATATGTAACAACGAGATATCTGAAATGTTCGAACCTGTGCTGGGCTTCTACCTAAATAATGGATATAAGAATCTGGCAATTTTCAAAGCCCTGGCTGGAGTAGTACAATTATAATGCTGCAGAAAACTTAAAATATCAAATAAGTGGAGATCAATATATTTATACGTCTTCTTTATGGCCGAGAGATCTGAACAACAAACAGGGCTTTACATTTGTGTTGCTAAAGGAGGAGTTCACCACTGAAGCGAAAAGGAAATTGAAAAGCACTTTGTGGTTTGTCATGGGGGGGGGAGTCACTCTTGAAAGGGGGGGGGGGACGGTCAGAAATCCCTTGATCTTGTGCAGGTCCTTAGACCAGAGAGTATGGAGAACAGAAACAAGTGCAGCTACACAAGACAAACATTTTCAGGACGGGGGCTTTATTCTTAATCAGGATTGCACTTTTCTACCTTTATATCGGAAAGCAGATGGTTTTACAAGAAGTCTCAAGCAGCAAAAGCCTCCCCAATAACTGCTTTCGAAGCCAAACAGAACTCAAAATTCCTAGAAGAGTACCACAGAGTTTGGAAACCTCCTGAAACATTTCTCCAGAACAAACAAACAAGACAACCCCCCCCCCCCAAACAAATAAAGTGCACAGTTACAACACAACTGGGGAAGTGCTCCACCAAGCACTCCCCTTCCCTGCTCTCTTCTAGAGCAGCAGCAGCAGCCGTCGCCACAGAGAAAGGACACGCACCTTTAACAGGGGGCCCGGCTGCTCCCCGTCCCCGGGTACCTCCTGAGAACGGCACTGATAAGGATGAAAGGACTTCCCTACATCCCCCGACTCCTTCATCAAGAACTTTAGCGAGGGGGGAAACCAAACATAGGAGGGAACTGCCCAATGTTACCAAAGTCAGAATCACAAAAATTGAGAGACCTAATCCTGTATTGTGGGGACATATCCAACCAGCAGTGACAACGGTCAGAAGCTTGTAGAAGTACTGTTTTTGCAGAGACGAGGAAGTAAGGATGATTCCGTTTCTGAGTAAACATGCTCAGGATCAGAAGAACACAGTTCGAGTCCAGAGGCACCTTTAAGGCCAACAAAGTTTTATTCTGGGCATCAGCTTTTCTGTGTGTGCACACTGAAGCATATACCCAGGATAAAAAGTGCCATTGGGATCAAACTTTGTTCTGCTGCTTCAGACCAAATCTATGCTTAGGATCAGATCAGGGTCTCGTAATCTGGGGGAACTGAAAACCTGACTCCACCCACGTGATTCTAGGCTAAAGAACGGCAGCACTAGCTTGATTAATGGAAAGCCATGGCAAAACTCCCCTGGTCCCCTTTGTCCTCTGGGTTGTTACCTCACAGCCCATTTACGCCACTTCTGCATCTGATATGTATGACGACCACGCTCTTTGTGGCTTTGGAAAGGAGGATACCGAGCACGATGCTCCTTCAGCGAGAGACCTGATGCAATTGTTTGGGGGGGGGGGGGGGGAAGAGATGAAGTCGGTTTCCACAGGTAAGCTTTTGCTGAGGTTATCCGGTGACAAAATGATACGCTGCAGCTAAGATGGAAGAGCAGATCACTCTATAAACCGGGCTGTATTTCCGAGGGTCAAACTGTGTCTGCCTGCCAGAATGCTAGGAAAAAATCTGCAAGAGTTTTGAGAGTTAGTCAAAAGAGATGAAATGGTCCCTCCATTTGCTGGCTACTTAATAAAGGTAAAGGTTCCCTTGCTCGAAAGCCAGTCGAGTCCGACTCTCGGGATGTGGTGCTCATCTCCGTTTCAAAGCCGAAGAGCCAGCGCTGTCCGAAGACGTTTCCGTGGTCATGTGGCCGGCATGACTAAACACCAAGGCGCACGGAACGCTGTTCCCTTCCCACCGAAGTGGTCCCTATTTATCTACTTGCAATTTCTTGCTTTCGAACTGCTAGGTTGGCAGGAGCTGGAACTAGAGACAGGAGCTCACCCTGTCTTGCGGCACCCGGGTCTTGAACCGCTGACCTTCCACAGCCTGCAGTTCAGCGTCTTAACCACTTGAGCCACCGCAGCTCCTTAATACGACACTACAAACTCTAGCAGTTATTTTTCCCCTCTAAACTTTGGTTAACCCTGATAAGGCACTGCCTCTTACCCTCAGTTTTAAAAGCTGAATCACAAAGCTTAGAAAAATTAAGTCGGTGGCATGGTTTACGAGGACCCAAAGTCAGCCACAGAGCACACAAGGTGTTCAAACCGGATGGCGCCATCTTTTATATCAGGAATATTTCAAATTTCTTCCACAGCAGCAGTCTATGATTGTCACTTCTAATATTCTAGGACAAAAGAATACAGCCGTGATGGAAAAGGCAGGCGAGGAGACTGTAAGAAGATTTGCCCAACTGTCCTCCACCCCATGCCAATGCATATATACGGACTATCTACTGATGGCATGTATACTTCTGACCTTGCAGTCCAATACAAAATGATAGAAGGTACGTGGAAGTACGAAGGCATGCCATTTTGTCGGGCTACAAGGCCTATAGAATGGATGCAACCTGGAAATGTCATCGCCCTATCCTACCTAGGAGAACCTCTGGGAGTTCAAATGGGGTAACACAAGCCAGAGGAACAGAGTTGGGACAACGTATGGATCCAGACACTTGGAGATGCCATTTGGTACAGTGTTCAGGGTCAGTGAACCTATGACACGTCCATTTTCTTCGGAGGGTTGCCATCGTCCGCTATGGCAGCAGCCAGGACATGACGGCTTCTCGGTTCCGGTGTGTAGTTTCACTGGTGCGTCGATGCTTGAAACGTCAGAGTAAACAGATAGGAGGTGAAGAGGATTTGGTTCAAGCCTGGAGGGTGCTACATTTGGCAATTTTAATCTTTTTTTTAACAAAAAAAATTTGTTTCTTAAATTCCTCTGAGACAGAATAATGGGATTTTTTTTTCTCCATTTCATTTCTATGGCATCGCTATGAGAAACAAAACTATCAGCATCAACAGATCTGTAACAAGTTAGTGCACCCAGCATCAAGAACGTTACAGCACATCTAGAATAATAATAGTTAAAGCTCACAGCTAGTCATTTTCCTTTTTGCATTTTTCACGTTGCCTATAATATTTTGTTCTCACTATATTGTTAAGCAGCTCCAGTTTCCACATTAATGGCTCCCAAGCAAGTTAGACAGGAAGCCGGAGAACTTCTTCTCTTGGGGCTCTGCCTCTTGGCCTTTCGCAAGGCCCAGTTCACTTTCGATCTGCTCCAGCTCCGACTGGTCCAGCAGTTCAAAGTCATCCCCTCCCTCTGAGTCCGTCTCTTCGTTTAAGTCTGGGCCTGCCTGCATGGACTGCAGCTGGTCTCTGACGGCGGCTGACACCGCGGAGGCCACCACATCGGAGGCCATGGCCTGGACCAAGCTGAAGGCCTGGCTGTTGAGCAGAGGCAAGGAGAGACCTGCTGCAGAGAGCCCCTCCTGCTGGGAAGACACGGCAGGGCAGCGGTCCCTCCCCCCATGTCGCGGCACGGGCAGGCCGATGCTCAAATCGTCCTCGTCGTTTGTTCCTGCGCCATTTTCCACAGACGGGAATTCCAAAAGCTCTTTCGCAAACGCTTCCTCGTGGTCACTTGGCCGGTCAAAATCTATTCAGTAATCAACAGAAAAGGCTGTCAGGGAGGAGGAAACCACCACCGCCGCCGCCACTTTGTTCCTACAGGATAACACTGAACATCGACACAGACTGGGAAATATTGGACAGATGGATGGGGGAGGGGAGAAATGGTGCTTTTGCACATCCCACCCATGCTCATTTTAAACCCAAAAGTTAAGTGCACATATGTAGGATAAGCATTTTATAAAAGTATCAGCGCTGAACTTTGGATTCTATGACACATCCTAAGGTGTATTTTAGACAACGGGTGGCATTCAATGTTCCCTCTAAGCTGTGGAGTCTTGTGAGCAAATATCCTACTTGGTGAGCTACTGGCATTAAAGTTGTGAGCTAGCGATTTGGCCCCTGCATAAATCAGTTTGCTCCGGAGCCCTCCTTCCTGAGCTGAGACAAAAATGTGTGAGCCGGAGGCTAAAAAACTGTGAGCTAGCTCACACTAACTCAGCTTAGAGGGAACACCGGCTGGCATTGTGCAGGAAGTTGCTATTAACAGAAGCGGGGCGACTTTCACCAATTCCTCCCTCCCGCTTCAGACCTCAGGGTGTTCTGGGGGTAGGGGGTCCCCTGCCCTCAGGAGCAGTGCGGGGTGGGGATTCTGGCTTGCAGCAGGACAGGAGGGATAAGGAGATCCTGTTCCACTGACGGGAATCCCTTCTGTCAGCAGAGATTTGATGTGGGACCCAAGCCAAGGAGATCGGAGACTGCAGAAGCCTTGTCTGTGCAAATCCCACCCACCCGCATTTTAAAAAACCCGAAGCCTTGAAGGAAGCATCACATACCATCAGAAGTATCTGTCTGTGGAGTATTTCCCTCAGATAGATTGAAAGTTCCATTGTCAGTCCAAGATACTTCGGATACATCTGTATCCGATACAGACATCTCTTGGGCCACCACGGCAGGGCTAACCTGTATTTTGAAAAACCAAACTGTCAGATGCAGCAGACGGTCTGCTAAGCTGAGTGCCTGGTCACTGAATATTTATTTATTTATTTTATTAAATTTATACGATGGCTCTCAGCACGAGACAGTCCCGAGGTGGCTAACAAGGGTTACAGTATTAAACAATAACAACAGGAAACACGTTAACAAAGTCAGTTTAAAACATAATACAAATAAAACTAAAAAGCAGCCCGCGTAGACAAACCCAACTAACTAAAAGCCAAGCAGAAGAGCTATGTTTCGTAGGTCCTGCGGAACTCTGATAAGTCCCGCAGAGCCTGCGTGTCACCTGACACCTGGTTCCACCAGGATGGAGCCACTATAAAGAAGGCCCTTGCCCTGGTGGATGCCATGCAAATGTCCGAGGGACCAGACACCACAAGAAGTTTGCAAGTTGAAGAACGCAAACTGTGGGGGGGGGGATGTCAGAGGAGGTGGTCCCACAGGTATGAAAGTCCCAGACTGTTTAGATCCAGCCCGCGCAGGGCTGCAATCTGCCTGAGAGCAGCTGACTCTGTACTGCTTTCTGATTCCCGTTTCTAACGTGATAAGAACATAAGAGAAGCCAATGTCGATCAGGCCAATAGCCCATCCAGTCCAAACTGTCACACAGTGGCCAAAAATACCAGGTGCCATCAGGAGGTTGTCAGCTATGCTGCCATAAGGGTTGGGGGTGGGGTGCTAGCTTGCCTGAACTGCTGCATTCCTTTTCAGCTTCTGTAATACTCGCTTATCTATGGCCTTGCAGGTGGGGCTGTTGTGTCTGAGTTCTAGGGAACTGTGGGAGCGCTTTCGGTTCTCAGCTTCGGCTCTAACGGCCTGGGGCTCCTTCTCCCCCGCGCGGGAATGTGGCTAATTGGCCTAAGGAAGGGGGTGTGCATACAAATACCCCATTATGCTTATAGGGGCGACACCATTCTTAACAGTGCTTTTGTTAATGCATCTATAGCTCTTCAATAAAGTATAACCTTTCTATGAAGCGTGTACTCAGTTGTTGGCTGTGGAACCTGACAGAGGTCCACCAGTGGGGCCAGGACACTAGAAGCCCTTCCACTGTCCCCCCCCCATCACCATTAGTCGATAGGACACCTGGGCACATTAATACAAACAAAGCAAGGCTTCACTGGCTCCTATCAGATAAGAATGCAGAGATTACACATTCAATCGCTGAGTTTTGTGCATTAATTCTTAGATTGCGGGAATCGCATTTTAAAAGTTCTTAAATTCAGACTTCTATTTTTGTATATTATGACTGTTTTTTCTCTCTCCCTTACATATTATGCTTACTCTGTATGTTGGTCTTAAGAACGTAATAATAAAACTAGCTAATTAACTAAGTGGTAGAAAGAGTAAGAGTCCAGTAGCACCTTTAAAGACTAACAAAATTGTGGTAGGGTATGTGCTTTTGCGAGTCACTGCTCACTTCTTCAGACTTATTTCCATGTATTATTTGCATCCTCCTGGACTGAATCCTCCTGTATCAAACTGAGACCTAGGTCTCCTGCCTCATTACCAATGCTGATGTCTCCATAGCTCTGTATATCACACCTAATCCAATCGCACCTGCTATTGCCATTTGGCATCTGAAATCATCTTTATAAAGTTTGTATCTCTGGTACGTTGTGTTACATTTTATGGCACACATGGCCCGGCCTGGCCCGACAACGTGATATTTATGTCAGATCTGGCCCTTTTAACAAATGAGTTTGACACCTCTGGTTTAGGGCTTTACAGGGGGTAATCACCAGCACCTTCAATTTGATCTGGAACTCAATTGGGAGCCAATGCAGCTGTTTCAAGAATACCCAGAATACTCCCTGAAATAAATGCCTATGTGAAATTAAACATCTTGTAGCAATACTGAAACAACGTGTTAAGGTTGGTGTAACATAGCTTGCCAGTAAATCAAAGAAAAAGAAAGGGGGGCACACTAAACCAAAACAAAGATGAAAAGACAAATGGTGCCGAGGAAAAGAATCTGTAATGATTGTATGACCCCCTACGCGTTTCGTGTGCAGCTTTGTGAGAGGAATCTTCCAGATTCTTTTTAGTTCCGTTCCCATGACTCTGCTAAATCATACAGAAACGGAACGAAAAAGAATCTGGAAGATATCCCCCCCCCACCGAAGCTGCACGCGAAACGCGTAGGGGGTCATACAACCATTACAGATTCTTTTCCTCGGCACCATCTGTCTTTTCGTCTTCATAACACGGCGTGCCCCTGCTTGCCAGTTTATATATTTACATAGTCACACTAGTTATATCTTCCAACTATTGCTCGGTGAGCCAGAAACACTTCACTTTAGTTTTCAGGGGGAGAAGCTGATTATAGAAGTGGCTGTAGCTTCCCCAAGTTGAACACCTCAGGCCAAGAGGCAGTGTTAGAGATCTAAACTCTAGCGACCTTTCACATTCCAACACACAAGAGTCAGGTTTCCAGCAAGTAATTAGGCACAGAAAAAAAAGTCTTTTGTATGGCAGAGGAGTCAAGATGCTTATTTGTAACCTAACGTGAAAGAGAACCAACCTTAGGACACAAAGATGATATGTCTAGCTCACTGTCATCTTCCATCAGCTTTGTTTTTATCATTTCTGGAAAAGAAGATCACAAACAGCTTTTAATGTCCATTTTCACAGGCAGAATAGAAAATACTCACAGTTCGTTCTTTCGCAGTGTATTTATTTATTCATTACATTTATACCCCCACCCTCCTGGCCATGGCTGGCTCAGGGAGGCTTACAACAACATAAAAACAACAATAAATAGTATAATAATCATAAAACCATATAACAATCACAACATTAAAAGGTGCTAACAATAATAATCCAATTACCATTAAACAGATAACAATTTAACACTATATCCCTAAGTTTGGGTTTTTTTTTAAAAAAGCACTACTGCTCCATCACCACCCTGATATTTTGGCCTCTCCTTACATTCTGTAGCCTGTTCTATCCATATAAATGTGAACAGTATAAAATAAAATACAGGGACGTTAGACCATTTCTTTCTCATGGATGACATCAACTTTATGTAAAAGTTCGCTATGGGTCCTTTCGTCAGGGCCTCTTCACAGACAATATCTGTCTTTCCATATCACGTTTGCCAAAGCAATGAACATTTGCTGTCAAGCAGCTTCTGCATGTGTGCAAATGCTTCTTCTTTTTATAGAAAAGTTTTTTTTTAATTTTTTAACTACATTAACAAGGACATAAAAAGTAAAGGTAAAGGTTTCCCTTGCTCGAAAGCCAGTCGAATCCGACTCTAGGGTTGCGGTGCTCATCTCCATTTCAAAGCTGAAGAGCCAGCGCTGGCCGGCATGACTAAACACCAAGGCGCACGGAACGCTGTTACCTTCCCACTGAAGTGGTACCTATTTATCTACTTGCAATTTCTCGCTTTCGAACTGCTAGGTTGGCAGGAGCTGGAACTAGAGACGGGAGCTCACTCCGTCATGTGGCAACTCGGGTCTTGAACTGCTGAACTACTGACCTCCCACAGCCTGCAGTTCAGCGTCTTAACCACTTGAGCCACCGCAGCTCCGCAAAAAGACAGACATACATACAAACATACATCACACCTTCTAAACATAAAAACGGGGGTACATTGTGCCTTCTTGACAGCAAATATTCATAAAAACACATGTCACACAAGATAAAGGTTTGAAACATCGCTTGTATTCCTCATGAAGTGTATAAGACTATTTTTCATCTTGCGTCGGGGATAAACGGACAGCTGCAGAAGGAGCTCCCCATTCCTTAACTGAGACACTCAGCATGAATGTTGGGATTACAAAGAAGAAGGCAATCCTGCAATGAACTCACCAGCTCTCTCTTTCAATTTCTGGTTGATATAATCCCTGATACCAAAGTCCAGTTTCAGCAGAACTGACTTCATGTTGCAAAATACTTTCTGCCCAAATTCACTGCATGTGAAGAGTGGACACAGAAAGGCTCCTAATACTGTAACAGGAATGAGAAACATGTAATTAGGTACGATACGTATGCAGAATAGTATCTTGCCTGAAGCTGGGTCCAGACTAAACTGGCACTTTCCAATAATTCCCCTGGCCTGAGGAAGACCCCCCCCCTCCCCAGCATTTCTCAAGGTGCCCTGTCCCCCCAGGAATATCATTGCACGGAGATCAGTGGGTTGCAGAAGGGGGCAAATCTGAATCTGCCGTTGGAAAATTCCCCGCATGGTTTTCAAAGGCAAGAGACAGTCAGAGGTGGAGAGCCCACCAGGGCTGACCCTGCTTAGCTTCCAAGATCCGATCAAACTGGGCTGGCCAGGGCCAATGCCGTTGCCTGCCTCAGCATAGCAACCCTGGGCTTCCTCGGTGGTCTCCCATCCACGTAGTAACCAGGGCTGGCTCTCTGCTTAGCTTCTGAGACTTCGAAAGATCAAACTAGCTTGAGCTATCCAGGTCTGGGCCACAGGGGACTGGCGGCCATCTTCTATTCACCTGCCTGGGACTGAAAGCGAAATAAGTCTGCCATGAGGGTCCAGGGAACCAAGATGGCCACCATTCCCCCCCACCCTTCTATGGCCTTCCCTGGGCCTTTCAGCTCCCTGTCTGTTCCATGTAGGGCTGCCAAGTGGGGGCGGGTGGCGGGTAAACCCCCGCTTTGGAGGCCCGATTTCCGCCGCCGCGGAATTAGGCCCCGGGGGGAACCCCACCCCGGCGTGCGCGTCACCAGGAAGTAACGTTATGACGCCGGGCACGCTGGGGGCGGGGCCACGACCATCTGAGAGGAAACTCTATGGTTTCCCCTCTAATGGTCATGGCCCCGCCCCCAGCATGCCCGGTGTCATAACGTCCCTTCCTGGAGATGTGCATGCGGCGCGCGCGCGCTCCGGGATCCACCCGGGAGTCCCCCGCTGCGGAGGTAAGCTATACTTAGCAACCCTAGTTCCATGGCAACTTTCCCCCTGCAGGGGAAGAAGGGGGCGGGCTCTTTAATCCATTCCAATCTATCCCAGGTTGGGGAGGCTGGAAGCCCCAGGAATCAATATCCTCTTCTTCCTCCCTAAATAGCTTGGGGGTTTGCTTGGGGATTTTCCCCAGTCTACCACCCTGCCCTCCTTCACCTCCAGTCAAGGTTTTCTGGCCCCGTAAGGGCTTACCATGATTCCGGCAAGGGCCAGAGGCTGGTCTGTTCCCCCGCATGCCGGGTCCTCCGAGACTGGGGAGGCTGCCGGGTCTGCGGGGTCACCCCGATCTCCTTGCAGACTCAGCCGCTTCCCCTGATGTGTGTTGGTTGTGGAGGGGGCCTCCAGCTGCAGGCTGGGCCCGGCGGGAGTCTGTGTGCACAGCCGCAGCTGCTGGGGATCTCCCAGCGTCGTCAGCTGCCTTTGCGGTATGCCACCGACCACGGCTCAAAAATAACGAAGGGTGTGTGTATGTCTCTCCCTTCTCCCTCTCTTCCTCTCATCCCTGGATGACTGCGCTCTACAGAGCGCCTGTGAAACACATCCTGCTCAAGCAGCAAGGCTGGCGGGGACAGGCCCCTCCCTTTCCTGGATCAATCCAAGGAAACCAACCCTGTTCCAGAGGAGGAGCCTATTCCCCAAGAGTGAGGACTGCCCCACTCCCAGGACCACCGGAGAAGGTCCCGGGTTCAATCCCTGGCATCTCCAGGCAGTAGGGGATGTGAAAGACCCGGCAGTCGGTGACGTGAAATACCTCAGCCTGAGACCGTGGAGAGCCACTGCCAATCTAAGTAGACAATGCTGACCTTACCAGACCAAGGGTCCAGTTCAGTATAAGATGGCTTCCTATGTGTTCCTCATGAAGTGTATAAGACGGCTTCCTATGTGTAGTGGTTAAGTGTGCGGACTCTAATCTGGGAGAACCGGGTTTGATTCCCCACTCCTCCTCCACTGGCACCTGGCTGGATGGCCTTGGGCAAGCCATAGTTCTGACAAGAGCTGTCCTTGAAAAAGAGCAGTTTCGGTCAAGAGCTCTCTCAGCCCCACCTACCTTCTAGGGTGTCTGTTGTGGGGAGGGGAAGGGAAAGGAGCTTGTAAGCCGCTCTGAAACACCTTTGGGTAGTGAAGAGTGGGGTATAAATCCCATCTCTTCTCTTCTTCTTCTATCTGAGGAGACCCAGCAACCCTATCCTAGCCTGTTAGGTGTAGTGGTTAAGTGCATGGAATCTAATCTGGGAGTACCGGGTTTGATTCCCCACTCCTCCACTTGCACCTGGCTGGATGACGTTGGGCAAGCCATAACTCTGGCACAGCTGTCCTTGAAAAAGAGCAGTTTCTGTCAGAGCTCTCTCAGCCTCACCTACCTCCCAGGGTGTCTGTTGTGGGGAGGGGAAGGGAAAGGAGCTTGTAAGCCGCTCTGAAACACCTTTGGGTAGTGAAGGGCGGGGTATAAATCCAATCTCTTCTTCTTCTCTTCTTCATGTGAGGTCAAGCCTTGTTTTACAAAGAACGACGACTCCTTCTGAAAATATCTAAAATGGCTTCCATATCAAAGAGCACCTGGTCAAGGCGTATGTAAGTGCAGAAACCCTAAGCATCTACGGGCCTTCCTAAGTGATCCAGTTGAGAGAGCTAATGCAGCATAGCAGTGGAGAGACCAAAGCCCAAACTGAAGTGTTTCCTGCGTCACAAAACTCACCAGAGAGCCTTGGGTAACACAGCTTCTCTTATATCTCAGGGCTGTTGCAATGTTCACAGGCAAAGTGTGTATTACCATCTACCCTGCTGATGATCACATGTTTGTAGTGCTTTAACCGTAGTATTGAGATGCTGGGAAAATGTGACTTCCTCCCACCGACCCCCTTCTGTCCTTATGTCAACAACGGCAGACACTATGCGGGCTGCAGTTATGTGGGTTATTTTGGCCCATATAATAAAGCTGCTAAATATATATATATCATCATGTGCAGAAAAAAAGGGAAGGAACTTACACAGAAGGTAGGAGAAGACCACTCCAGGAATGTAACTTCCCAAGATTGTGAAGAATGTGCACACACTACAGACCAGGAGGCAAAACTGTAAAAAGAAGCAAACAAATCAAGAACAGGTAATTAGATCTCTGCTGGTTAAAGATTTTTCATTCTCCTTATAAAACTGGTAGAAGTTGCCGTTTCCCATCACTACTTTCTGAACAAAACATGGCCGAGGGGAATCTCCATATTCAGAGGCAGTCAACCTCTGAATCTCAGGGCCAGCAGGCAACATCAGGGAAAGGCCTCGGCCTCTCTGCCCTGTTGCTGGACCACCAGAGGAACTGGCTGGCCCCTGTGTGAGACGGGAGGCTGGACTAGAGGAACCCTCTCTGGTCTGATCTAGCAGGGATCTTCTGAGGTTCTTCTCAGGGGAAGGCCTTGGCCTCTCTGCCCTGTTGTTGGCTCTCCAGAGGAACTGGCTGGCTTCTGTGTGAGACGGGAGGCTGGACTAGAGGGACCCTCCCTGGCCTGACCCAGCAGGGCTCTTTTGATGTTCTTCTCAGGGGAAGGCCTCGGCCTCTCTGCCCTGTTGCTGACCCTCCAGAGGAACTGGCTGGCCCCTGTGTGAGACGGGAGGCTGGACTAGAGGGACTATTGTTCTGACCCATCAGGGCTCTCCTGAGTTCCTTATCAGGGGAAGGCCTCGGCCTCTCTGCCCTGTTGCTGGCCCTCCAGAGGAACTGGCTGGCCCCTGTGTGAGACGGGAGGCTGGACTAGAGGGACCCTCCCTGGTCTGACCCAGCAGGGCTCTTCTGAGGTTCTTATCAGGGGAAGGCCTCGGCCTCTCTGCCCTGTTGCTGGCCCGCCAGAGGGACTGGCTGGCCCCTGTATGAGACGGGAGGCTGGACTAGAGGGACCCTCCCTGGCCTGACCCAGCAGGGCTCTTTTGATGTTCTTCTCAGGGGAATGCCTCGGCCTCTCTGCCCTGTGCTGGCTCACCAGAGGAACTGGTTGGTCCCTGTGTGTGACAGGGATTGGACCAGATGGACTACTGTTCTGATCCAGCGGGGCTCTTCTTATGTTCTTAAGCTGCAGCCTGAGGGTCCCTGGGGGCACAGGCAGTTTTAGCACTGCTCATAAGAACAGCTCCCCCACTGCCTACAGATCAACCTCTTGGGCTGCTGAAAGCCCCTGACTCAAACCTGCCCATGGTAAGGGCAATACAGGGCAGCACACCCTTCTTCCTGGTAGTTCACAGACAACATAGTGACTGGTACCAATGTCGCTGCAACCACGAGACAGTTTCCGGCATTTCCTGAACACCATTTTTCACAGAGAGACGACAGGCAGTAGGACGTTCGCTGCCTGGGGTGAGGTAAAAGGCAAGCCTCTTTCTTTACCTTGCCAGGATTCTGTTCTTTGAAGTGGGCCATTTCATGGAGAAACAAGAAGAAGCTCATCAGCCTTTCTTCCACACATTGGTTTAGCCTCAGCCTGTATTCAGATTTGGGATCAATGACTTCCCAGCTGGAAAAATAACATGAAAATTCATTTTTTTTTTTAAAAGGCATTATAGATTTAAGTTCATTAATCACTAGTTTTCTGCCATCAACTAAATATGCAATAAATAACTGTAAAGCAGCAGCTGTTCTTCTGTTGTCCTAAATCTGTTTGTCCTGACCTTGATGGCCCAGACTAGTCTGATCTCGTTTAATCTAAGAAGCTGCGGTGGGCGGGTCAGCCCCGGTCAGTATTAGGATGGCAGACCATCAAGGAGAGCCAGGGTGGCTACACAGAGGGGCAGGCAATGGCAGACCACCTCTGAATGTCTCTGGCCTTGGAAATTCCACGGGGGTCATCCTAAGTCAGGTACGACCCGGGGGCACTTTCCACAACCATCAAAGCTGGTATTCTGCAAAGTTAATTTTATGTTTGCCCATCCCAGGAATCACCAGCCCTGTTTGTCTATTTTTGGTCACTGCTGTGCCAAGTGGTCAATCCCCCAGAAAATGAAACGCAGGGATGAGACGGCTGCCTTTCAATCCAGAACGTGTTCAGTGTCGAAATACAGAATGACCAATCGCGGGAATACTTTGAGGAAAGGCTTTATGGGTATCAGGTATTGGCCACCCTTTTGCCCTGTCTTCCTTCCAAGAAGCTCGCGGCTGCATTCGAGTTCTCCCGCCTCCATCTTATTCTCACAACGCTGCTGTGCGATACTGCGGGACGAGAGAGGGGAACTGATACCCAGTTATGCTGTGAGATCCAACGACTGAGTGCACACGAGACCCCAGATCTCCCCAGCCCTGACTAGCCTGACACCCCCTCCCCTCTTAATTACGGCTCAGACGACACTCAGCGTGTCCCTCACTCCATGCCAGCTGCCTACCTGCCAGTCTAACACATTTCCCTCTAGTCTCATCTGATTCTCCCACTGGAAAAAAGGATCAGCCCCAATCCTCCCTCTAAGCGGTGGAGTCCTGTGAGCAAAAATTCTACTTTGTGAGCTACCGGCATTAAAGTTGTGAGCGAGCCATCTGACTACTGCATTAAATTGGTTTGTTCTGGAGCCATCCTTCCTGAGCGAAGAGAAAAATGTGTGAGCCGGAGGCTAAAGAACTGTGAGCTGGCTCACACTAACTCAGCTTGGAGGGAACAGTGATCAGGACCCAGCAATAATGGTTTTGTTCTCTCAAGTCTATATGTTCCATTATTAAGTCCTCCCAACACTGCATCCATAGTGCTCTGCTTCTTGTCTTCCAGTGCCTCTTATATGCCCTTATGTGTCTCTTCTTTTTTAAAAAGAAGGGATTCCCCTTTGGTCCTAAGCCCTTCCCCAGAAGCCTTGATGGGTGAATCTTTTGCATTAGCCCCCTTTTCCTTTGAACAGGACTCCCCTGGCATTTCCCCACTGTACTTCAAGACCACCAGGCCTCAGCCCTATCGTTGATTCTTCCTTGCACTTTATCAGGTCCTTTGATTAAGGAAACAACCCAAGTGGTGGGTGCTGGACGGGAAGCTGGCCTGCCCCGAAGGGGAAAACAGCCACAGGGAGAGGGCGGTCATGGCTCAGGTCTGCCTCAGCAAGAGAGCAGAGGGTTGGAAAGGTGGTTCTGCCCGGGTGGACCTCGGCAGGGAGGTTGAGGTCTTCCTCTAAAGAGAGGAACGGGGCACCCGGTGGCTGTTGTGAGGCCGGGCTCTGGAGATGAGCAGACCTCGTACCGCTCAGGAGAGGGCGGCAGGCTGGTGGGGGTGGAACCCCCCGGGAGTGAGAGGATCCAACCCTGTGGCTAGCCAGTGAATGCCCGTTTGTGCCCGAAAGCATTACAGGAAAATTCAAATCACACTCTGAAGCCATAACCCGCTTAAATGTGTGCGCCTCAACCAGGCTTCTCCTCTGACTACCTGGGTGCTGCTGATCCGTTCTTTGAAACCAACCTGTAAATAAACCAATCTCCTTTTGTCATTTACATACAGCTCCTGCCTCAGCGACCTCCCTATCCTACTTGCGCACCACAAAACTTCCCTCGTGGCGGCAAACACAAAGCCTTTACATGCCTGTTCTCTCAAGAACACCTGGTAACTGAGGGGGAAGGTTTACAGTCTAAAACAAACCTGGTTCCCCAAAATCACAGGAGGCTGCGTGAGTCCCCTCAGTTGGTAGGAAAAGCCTGTCACAGTGGCATAGTGGCTAGGATTTTGGATTGGGATTACTCCCCCCCCCGGTCTTTCTCCCCCCCCCACTGGAATAATAATTCTTTATTGTTTAATTTCATAAAACATTCCATCACCAACACCACCCATGTGCAACCTCCAGGCAATAGATACATAAATAAAATTCCATACAGTATTATATCACAATCAATGCAAGTACAACTCTATTGCTCTATTAAACTTCCATCTTAATCTTATAATCAAATTAACCTCTCAATTTCCTATTAACTGAATAATCATCCCTATTTTTAAAAACTTTCCCAAATACCCCGCCATCCTTCTGAACCAGTCCTCCTCCTGTTCACTAACCTTTAACCTATTTATTATACGTATCTTCATCGTAAGATACTCTAAGATTATTATATTATTCATTTTATCCCTCCAATGATTAATCATCAGTTCCTCGGTCTTGATGCTTGCTGCACGGCCTGGGGTTAATCTTCTCCTCTCCTACCTCACAGGGCTCTTGCCAGGGTAAAAGGAGGAAGAAACATGTGCCCTGCTCTGAGCTTCCTGGAGGAGAAGGGGCAGGACAAAAATGGACTGGACAGGCGGGCCGGAGAGTCGTCTGAGCTCCTTCCAGGGCTGGCTCCACGATGTCCGTAGGTCAGACTGACACCACACACATTCCTGGCCCTGCAGAGGAGTCCGCCTATGCCAGTTCCCTCTCTTGTAGCTGGAATCACACACGTCCCCTTGAAATTCTTTTTCAAAGACCACACTAAGTAGAAATGCCAAGGTGTAATTGGGCCCCTGTGGTGGTGGTGGGGCCTCCCAGGGCCCCCAAAACCCCACCTCTCCCAGCCTCCAATACAGGACCCAAAAGTCTGTTGAGTTCATCGGTGGGTAACGCGTAACAGATACACACCAGAAACATGCGTTTTCAGCCACACGCCAGCTAGCTGGCAAGGGCCGGAGCTGACCGCCTCACGGACACACAGTGACAAATCCGTATCTGTCACCACCCCAGCTCACCCCTGCTGGCAGGTGAAGGAGTCCTCCGTCTCCAGTGTCATCTCAAGACAGCAGACACAACTGCGACATCTTAAATTGTACCTGACATTTCTGCACAAGAGCTTTCTGCGTCAACCCCACATTTTAAAAAACAACACCACCCTCCACGCTTCTGTCAGTGTTTATCAGGGACAAGAACTTTTGGCACCCCAGATTTAAAGCTGCTATTTTTGTTTCGGTTGTAGAAAAGCTCGCAAGCTGGGTGAGAACAGGAGGCAACAGGTGTACAAAACGTGCTGCCAGGGAGCGCGAGAGTTCGCTGCAACTGTACACTGGACTCTCCACAGATCTATTCCAGCCCTTCTCCTCCAAAGAAGACAGAAGGATTTTGGTCCTCAATGAAAAAGGACACAGTCTGAAAGACGACTATCCTGACAGCATCTCGTATTTATGAGGCCACAATTCAAAGGCATCTGGGAACACTTGTTCATCTGGTTCCACTGAGGATAACCAACACAATTTCCTTTTCTCCCACCTTTGCGTAAACATATATGCTGCCGTTTGACTCTCATCTGTGCACATAGGATGAAAGCCAGTATTATGAACCTTTTGTCTCCCTTACAAAGAAAGCAAACACGTTCTTCAACCTTGGTGATTTAAAGCTTGGTCGGCCAGAGATGGACAGCAGAGCCAAATCTGCCACCCACCTGCTTCTGGGCCTGCCTTGCATCCGTGCCATGTAACAGGTGCCAATAAACCTGAAAATGCATGATTGTCACCCCACCAAAGTGGCGGGGCCAAGGAAGGGTGTGTGAACAGTCAGCACACCCAAATAGCGTTTTGCCTTTAACCCCAAGCTCCCTCCCCCTGCCTGTATGGACCGGTGGCTGATTTTTCCTTTGGACAGCAGCCTCACAGCAAGCCACCACCACCCCACCACCCCCGTAGCAACTTTTTAGAGCTGTATTTCCCACTCTGGGTGTCCTGACCCAAACGTCAGTTGCAGAGCCTATGAAAGCGGGCCCTGGGCTTTTGCATGCTGTGTCACCATGCCAAGTAAGTCTGGACTTGTGGGTCGCCATACCAAAAAGGTTGAGAACCATGGTTTTAGAGGACATAGAGGACTGAGGTGAGAAAGGAGGGATGTGGAGAAGCAGAAAAGCCTCAGTACGAGCATGAAACATCATGTACACCCCTTGGATACCAGCCGGAATACAGAGGTGCCCGTTACACATCAAGGGGCGAAGGAGGCACAATCCTGCTGCCCCACAGCATGCTGCCTGTACCCACTTCGCTCTTCTTGTAACGTACTGCCACATACTTTCCATTTACACTATCCCAGAGTAATCCTGCAGCAGTTTGGGAACGTGTTAACAGAGGGCTATTCTTGCTGACACCAAAACAAAATGTTTCACAAACCAAGCCAAATGAGAATGCATTGCTTGAAAATTTTGGCTTCGTTCCCTGGCGAGAGAGATGCCTTTCTAGGACAGACAGGGGGGGCAGGCACACACCCCGGCCCCTCACCTAGCAGTTATGACAAGCAGATGCTGCGACCCGTCACGGTCGCAAAGGCAGGCGAAGAGATTCGGTTCCATTGGGTTCTTCGAAATGACAAATAGTCACATGCTGCCAAGGAGTAGCTGGACATCTGAACCCACCAGAGTTTCTCTTACAAAGGTCAGTTACATCTCAAGTTACAGATTAAAAAAGAAAAAAGGCACCTGCCTAAGCCAGGCTGAAATGTTCTAGTGATGCGAACGAGGCAGTGTACACACGGACAACACTAGCTTGGCTCCAAGTCAGGATGAAGCAAAGGTAATGATGTGGCAAATTAGGGATTATAAAAGCACAAACAA